TTTTTTTTTTTTGTTTTTTTTTCTAGTTGCAGATAGATGACATTGATACCTATGTTTCTAAATGAATAAAAAATAAAGACAAAATGTCCATAGGCCATGCTTGATAACCCCCCCTGTCAATTAGCTGAGACAATTTCATTGCATCTTCCTAAATACACAGTGAAATGAAGAGCAGTGTCACAAAGGGATGTATGATAATGATATTTAAGACATTTGCAAACATTTGAATTACATTATCAGTGGCAAACTACTTTGAACAAAACTGAAAACTGGTTATGTCCTAACAGGACAGTGGAGAGAACTAATAATAATGGCCAATGAGACTTTAATACAAACTCTAGCAAAGTGTAAGCTTCCTATCGTATTTCATATGAACCAAGAATTTTATAAACTAGGAATTATGACTCTCACTTCAGAGATAATAAAACTAGGGTTCTTGCATATAACTTTGGTCCTTTAACCTCAAAATCAGAGTCTTTCTACCTTCCAGACAGCAAGAGAAGCCAAACCTTACAGGTAATCCGTGTAATCAGTCATATATACCAAGGATTTCTTCTTAAGGTGTGCCCACGGGATGCTTTGCAATCTGCTTTGAAGAAACAAATGCACACATATCAATGACGAGGTTGAATGTCTTTTGAGGAAGTAAAAGTCAGCTCCGGGATCCCTTGCCTGTGGTTTCATCAGTGAACTCAGCATTGTAAGGGATCCTTTTACGCTAAAACAGTCGAACAGACGAAAGCCACAACAGAGGAATAATATTTGAAGACAGCAAAACAATAACAAAAACCTACCCGCTGTAATTGAAGAGCCGATTTCACATGTGCCCTGCCTTGATTGAATGATATTGTTAGTGTTGATGCACTGTTGGGAAGAAATGCATCCAAATCGTATATTAGAAGATATCAAGTTTCTGATATCTTGTGGAGATTTTTATGTTAGCTCTTTTATAGCTGAAAAGGAGATTATAAAATTCCCTTTGGAATAAATTATGAGAAGAGAGCTGTAACAGTGCTGCTGTGACAGAGCCCTTCATAAATAAAAATTATTATTTGGCAATTGTTAACTGTGCACTAAATACATACATTTTAGGATTTTTTTAAATATATGTATTATTTATATAGTGTTCTTAACCTCTGAGCTATCTCTCCAGCCCTATTTTATAATTTTAATTGTAATTTGGTTTAATTTGTCAAGAAGTGATCTACCAGTCATATTGGTCCATATCAATGGCTATAGGTCTGACCGTGGTAATTTGGCTTTGATCATAGGAAGGCACAATGAATTCATTACACACATTTATTACCTGTGAACCATGACACTACACACTGCATACTTAATATGACAAAGGACATAATACAATGAGAAGTTTATGTTTACATTAAAAATTCCAGCTATCTTTCAATGAGATGAAACTATAGTAAATAATAATTGGACCCCATGATACTAGTAGGTAAACCCTTCTCTAGCTATTGCATGCCAACTTTGGCAACAAGGTTAAATAATCAAGAGTGGGCTTCGGGGGCATTAGCAATGCCCCTGCTTCAGCATGTTGTGCATATGGTAGGGATACATAAGACCTTAAAGAGCAGTTGATTCAAAATGATCAAAGAAGTCACACAAGTTTCCATCATTGCTCTAATGAGTTAAATACTAGGATCACTTAGCACCACACATTCAGAAAAGAAGCATCTTGCTGGGCAGTTGTTTCTCTTCTTCAGCTTTCCAGCTGATCAATTTTTTTTAAATGTGTCCTTAAATTTTTTCATTCTTAAAAATAATCATGTGGACTCTTTGAGAAGCAATGTATTGTCATGGAGAATCCACTGGATAGGAACCAAGACTGTAGGATTCTGTTTTAAGTCAGCCACTTGTTAGCTGTCTACTTTAAGACAAGTGCTTTCTTAGTCAACAAGTCACATCATGGGTACCATATGTAAATCATTAAAGCTGAGCTCTGTTATTTTAGAATAGTAATTCTACAACCTTCTTTCCATATGTACTACTCCTTCACTCCAAGATGTCATTAATTTCAAAAGACTGAGAACCCCAGTTTGGGTCCCGAGTAGACATTATTTGGAGTAATCAATGTACTTATGAGGATTGTACCTATTTCTGGGTTCCCAGAACATTATTAATAACATAAAGCACACTTTTTTCTTTTCAGTGCAGAGTGACCCTTGATTGAACTTACATAAATATGTGTCCAATGAAGGTCTCTAATCATATGATTGACAAACCAACATATTTTCTTTATAATTTTTAGTCTGGGCTAACCCATCTAGAGGAAGTTTCACACTTTAGGTTGTATGCACAGTAGTGATTTCTGTCACATACACAGTGAAAAAGAGGTAGTCTATGGAAAGTTTGTTAGTCAACATGACCCTACAATATGAAGCACAGAGGGAATGTGTTCATTTGTTGACTCTGTCTTGAGGCTCGGCCACTTACTGACAGAGTTCTAAGAAATTATCCTATTTATTTCATAATAATATCATTTTGCTTAAAGTATCTTAAATTGGTTTTGTTAATTACAGTTATAATAGTAATGTCATATTAAAGATTAGATGAGTATTAGGAATGAACTATGTATGAACACAGTCTGTATGTCTCTCTCTCTCTCTCTCTCTCTCTATATATATATATATATATATATAATGCTTCCAACTTGGATTTAGTTAACATTTTCATTGATTAATAGCTAATTTCAAAAGTATATAACAGACCCTACATCTTTTTCTATATTATAAAGTAAGCAAAATCAACCTCAATGATTGATAAATTAATACTGGACACTCAGCAAGCCATTATTGATTCACAAGTATTTCACAAAGACATTCTCAAGTGACCAGAATTTGAGTAAACTTGGTCACTCTGATTAGATTCAGGATGTTATTTCAAATAAACAATGAACCATCTCTGCTTCCCTTTTGCTGAAGATGGAGACTTATTTTCCTCATTTTGCTACATTGTACTATTAACTAATTAACATCTATGTGGACCTTTATTGTATTTTAAAGCTCCAAGCCAACCACCTGCAAACATTGCCTGGAAGCTGTCAAATTCTAAATTATGCTTGAACTGGGAGCATGTAAAAACTATGGAAAATGAGTCTGAAGTGCTGGGCTACAAAGTATGTATTTCGTTTTCTACTTAATCATATTAACTATGTTGTTAAAGAATCAGGAATGTTTCAATCAAATGGAAATAAAATTTGCACATATAAATATATTAGGTTTTTAAAAACAGTATTTGAAAATACCCTTGCTAGTGTCAGTTCTTCATTATAATGGTTCTGTGTTCTAGGTCCATTAATCGATATGGAGTAATATGTTATAAAAAATGAGAAATCCAAGTCCTGCAGAATGAAATCATTTTTTTCTCCATGTGATTGCCCTTGCTGTCAAGAAATAACAGCTCTTTGGATTTGTAGATGAGATACCTGATTGATGTCAAAGTATTACTTTTAATGGAGTATTAGAAATTAGGATACAGTAGATATGGGCACTTAATGGTACAAGAGGAATCTTAAAGGAACACCATTGAGTACCAAGAGCATCTCTGAGTGCCCAGAACAAGTAATTTCCATTAGTGATAATGTAAACTAATTCTAAGCAGACATGTATATTTAAACATTTGTAATGGGTTCAAACTGAACAATGATTTTTCATAATAAGCCCTAAAGCTAATCTACACAAACTCCACACTTGAGATAAATTACTCCCAATCAGGAACATGAATCCTCACATTTTCTGAGGAGAAGGGGAGACAGAAGAGTGGGAAAAGAGTAGAAAAGTGGAGCTGGGAGGAAAAGAAGGAGGGCCTAAGAGCAGGATGTGAAATAAATATATAAATTAAAAATAAATAAGAAAGAAAGAAATGTGATATGATGATGAGTTACCCCTAGATGTTTGCTTGGAAGGAGTAGCTTGTCTGTATGGTACTCTCATTGTAAGTGAGAGCACTGCTATACACATACTCCTTTCCTTCATAACAGCATCCACAAACCTCAGCCCCATCTTAACTTGACTTCTCCTTTTATGCAGATCCTCTATAGGCAAAACCGACAGAGTAAAACACATGTTTTGGAAACAAACAACACATCAGCTGAGCTTCTGGTTCCATTTGAAGAAGACTATTTGATCGAAATAAGAACGGTCAGTGATGGTGGAGATGGAAGCAGCAGTGAGCAAATAAGAATTCCAAAAATGTCCAGTGAGTTGAGTTTCTGTTTCTGGCATAGATTTCTAATCTAGGCAGCTGCAGCACAAAAGTTCCAAGGGAATTTCTAATTGTTATGTAAATGATGAGTGAGAAACTAAAAAGGACCATGTTTCCATTTTCAACTGTGAGCCAGAGGTGACAAGCCAGGTTTTCTTAAATCAACTGTCACATTTAACAATAAGCCTGCATTTTTATAATTTTCTATTTTCTCATTTGAAAGCTTAAAAAATAGAAATAAAAATAGATACAAGAAATAAAGAAATGAAGGAAGGAGAAAAGAAAAACAAGGAATAATTTCATGATTCATTACTCTGGGACAAAATTTAGATTCATTTGAGAGTTTGTTGTTGTTTTTACCTTTTTGTCCCCACAATTGAGCAAAGGTTTCAAAGCAGGAGCAATGAAATTGAAGCATGTATATCTATGCTGTTGTTTCTCTGTTGGTGGCAGACACCATTAATCAGCCATAGCATTTAGACTGAGCTGAAGCCTTCTTAATCATTTTCCAAACAGGCCAATCCCAGAGTTATGCAGTAATACTGTTTTTCCTTTAAAAGCATCATGCACTCACCTGCATGAAGCTTCTAAGTAGATGTTTTCAGTAATCAAATGTTGGCCAGTTCTAATACATTTTCAAGTATTCTTTACCAACTTAAGCATTTTTATTTTTTTATATTTGAGATGGCATCTTATGATGGAAGAAGTTCTATTTTGTGAAAGGAGTTGTTCTTAAGATTAAATTTAATGTAATAAAATATTATTAGAAAAAAAACATGACTGTGTATTTTCTGTCTGGTGGAAATAATTCAGTAAACAGTTTTACTTCACTTGAGATCATTATTTGATGTTTGTATTTTCCAGGTTTGAGTTCCACAGGAGTTCAGATTTTAAAGCCCAGTTCCCAGTTCCTGTCAATGGTTGGAATTTTTTACTGTTTTGCTATTCAACCACTTTCACGATGAATCAATCCATGGATCTTTGAGAATTTTCTGAAAACAAATCATTCTGTAAATACATTCCCCAGCCTCCATCACAAGACATATTCTTAATACAGACTTGTTTGAAAAGAAAAAAAAAATGTATATTACTAAGATCTTGTAAATATCTGTGGTACATTAATAAAACAGTTTTAAACACTTTGAAACACTTTGAATTTTAATGTCCACACATCATTACACATTTGAGGGTAATACATTAATCTGATGATATAAAACTGCTGGGTATTTCAGGTGACTTATGTGAAGAATATAAACAACCACCTCAATAACGATTATAGATATGAGACAGGTGTAAATTCATGTCCATGTTATGTGCTCCAGGCAGTATACTTTGCTATTTATAGCCCTTAGCCCCATTTGAAACAAAATACAATCATTTGTTTATAGTTGGGAGTCTCCCAGATATCAGATTTTCCAAATCCTGGTGCTGCAATTTATGAATCCAGTTGGAAGAAATATTTGTACTTGAAAATATGACAGTATGCATGTCGATTTTCTCTTCTCAGCTTTTAGAAAGTTGGATGAGAAAAAAGCAAAGAGTGGGGAGTTTTAGACAAGGGAAAAAATGAAAAGAAATGAACACCCATTGCAAATAACACATATTCCTCTAAACTCAAGTCTTGTGAATAAATTCCAGGTGCTTCTTATAAACTGATAGTTCTCCGCATGGTCTTACTTTTACACAATAATAAAAAAAAATCTTTAAAATATTTATTTGATCCAATTTTCTACAATTTGGTTATTTAATCAAACCTCTCTCAACATTATATATATATAATGTTGAATGGAAAATAACAATCTTGTAAGATTTTGTGGGGTAACTCTGCTCTAGAGTTCATCAGTTTCATCAGTAGCCAGCAATCCAATACGCTCCAGAAGCAAAGCCTGCAGAGAATCACAAGGTGGATGCCATTGTTCGAACCATTCCATTTCATCCACTAAAGGCTTGCTCCACTGGTGTTTATTCTGGGGTACTAGATTTGCTCTTTTCACATTGCTCAAGGTTTCAATTAAAGAACTAACTTTTCTCATAGTCCACAAATCATGAATTCATCAAAACTGGAATATGCATACATATCTATGTTCTTTTATTGAAAATTTCATATATGCATACAGTGTTTTGATCAGATTGATCCTAATTTCCTCCTCTCCAATTCTTTCCCCTAAAAGGCGCCACCACTTCTCCTTCCTGAATTCACGTGTTGCTCTCTTTTTTTTTCCTTAAAACCACGGAGGTCATTTACCGCTGCTCATTTATGCACAGGTAACAGAAAAATCTACTGAGGCATGGGTAGCCAATCTGGGACCACATCCCTGAAGGAAACTTACTGTTACTCCCACAGTCGCAGCCATTGCCCATAGTTCCTCAGCTAGCGGCTGGAATCAAGAGCCTCTCTGCCATCCACGGTGTGAATTTGGCTGGCTTCTATCTCATTCAGGTTTTGTACATGCAGTCAAAGTCAGCTACTGAGTTCTTGTATGATGGTTCTGTCACGGCCAACTAACGCTGTTCTTCTGAAGACACCGCTACTTCCTGTTCTCATGATCATTCTGAAACACTTGAGAATCTTTTCAGCACGTGAGCAACAACCTTCTATAGAAATTGCTCCTTCCTTGAATAGGATAACATCCCTCCAGTAACAAGCCCAGTGCAACAAGACCTGGCTGTGCTTTCAATGGAGCACAACTAGTAACAGCAAGTACCGTTTGGCATACTGTTAACAGGTGCCTATCTGAGACACATCTATGTTTCTCTAGCATCTCGTCTGAGCGTTTATCCCTAGAGACAAAATTGAAGGCTTTCTTCCAAATGGAGGTTGATTAAATATACTATGATGTCTGTTTGTGTTGATATTTTGATACGTTTTTGTTGTTGTTCTTGACCCTTAAGACTACCTCAACATTTTTCCTTAAATATATTTTCGTAGTATGGCTTTTATTCATAATTTCTGAATCAAGAAATATGTTATAACCATTTACATCCACTTTATTTTCAGGTTTTTTTCTTTTTCTATTTTATTTTTAGTTCCTCGGGAATTGTGTACAACGTGTTTTGATTATTCCAATTTCATCCTCTACCTCCATCAAGACTCACCCTTCCCTTCCCACAAAATTTTGCAGCCTTTGTATATATATATTTAATTCATTGAGTCCAGTTTGTGCTACCTATCTATTCTTGGATGGTGATTTTCAATTTTAGAATATAATCTGAATTCATCATAAGTAACATGCTTTTTGGCTCAGTTCAAAGGTCTGCTCTAGTGAAAGAAGAGACACTCTTTAGCTTCATTCTGCTAATATAAAGACTATAAAACATGACTCAGCAAGCAGAGGCAATTGTTGCTAACCCTGATGTAATCGCCAGGATCCAAATGGTAAAAAGAATAGAGCCCCATAGATTGTACTCTAACCTTCATACATGCACTATACACATGCCTAAAAACATAGACAAAATATATAAATGTAATAAAAATTTTAATGCTTATAGGTCATAATAAACATAAAATACTAGATGTTGTGTTTGGGAGATTACTGTACATTGTTCATAGGTGGAAAAATTATCTAAATTGAACATTCAATGACATAAATTTTATTTCATTCAGTATCCAAACTACTATGAAAAATCGAACATTTTTATGTTATATTTATTGTAATATTGGTATTGTTTTGGTGAGCATGTAATATGAGTTTCATTATAACATCGTATACATGTGTCACTATACTGTATTCGTATTTGCCTCCTTCAACCTCATTTGTCATGTCACTCCACCAGCTAGTTACGTGGTCACTTTCTGCTGCTCTCATCACTTTCTCCTCTTTCTCTCTCTCTCTTTCTTTTATTCTCTCTCTCACACACACATACAAACATACGCATGCACACACACACACACACACACACACACACACATTAAATATAAGTTCAGCATATTAAATTTTTAACCAAACCAAATACTCAAGAACCAAAGAACCAAGCTGAGTTGACTCATACAATTGAGTCAGGAAGTTATCTTTTTGCTACCATTGATTAATTGTATTCTAATGGTATGTACTTCTTTCTGCAAGGAAGTAGTTAAATGTTCAAATCAATTCATATATAAAGTGAAATGTTGCAATATAAGGCCTCAGAGAAACCAGACAATTTAGGGCACACAGTGTGGCCATTTCTATCAAGAAGCACTGTTCCATAGCCTTGTACAATCCAGGAGTTCATGATGTGTGCTCATGTGTTTCCCTGTATCTGCAATGATTGAATTGATGTTTCATAGCACATTAAGTTATTTGAGTATATATTTTTTTCAAATTAGAAAATCATCTTAGATAATCATACCCATCCCCCAGGACCTCATGGACTGATGTGTTAGAGTATTTATAGAAGTGTTTTGGTAATAAAAGGTGCCCTGAAGTAAAATCATAAAATAAAAAATGTGTTTGTTTATTTAACTTCACATAATAAAGAATTTGTAAGTTATCGATCCAGAATGAGTTTATAAATATGTTAACCCCTCCATCACCACAGTACTGAGGTGCCTATAGTTACTATTTGTGTCGACTAGCCCAGCCAGTAGTATAAAACAAACAAACAAACAAACAAACAAACAAACAAAAAACGGCTGAGCCTTTATAAAAGCACTTACTAAAATTAAAATCATAATCACATTCAAAATACAATGTGAATATTCTGATACTTTTCCTTCCTTTCTTCCTTCTTACCTTTTCCTTCCTTCCTTCCTTCCTTCCTTCCTTCCTTCCTTCCTTCCTTCCTTTCTTTCTTTCTTTCTTTCTTTCTTTCTTTCTTTCTTTCTTTCTTTCTAGACAGTCTCTCTCTGCATAGACCTGGGCGTCTCAGAACTCACTATGTAGATTAGACTGCCCTCAACCACACAGACATTTGCTTGCCTCTGCCTGTGGAGTGCTGGAATTAAACGGGTGTGACTGTCCCGTTATTTTAATTTTCTCAAAAAAATTGTCACTACATGATTTATAGCCGTCCTTGGTTTACATTTTGAAGATGTTTTATATTGTGGTTGTTTGAATTGCCTTCATAGTTTACAAAATAATAAAAACAAGTTTTTCATATTTTTTTTAAAGGCAGATGAATTTCATGACTCAGTCATTCTGCAGAGTATCCCATTGTTGTTGTTGTTTGTTGTTCTGAGAGTGCAGCCCAGGATCTTGGACTTGGGCAAGTGTTCTACCCTGAGGGACATCACCGTTGTTTGGAATGTCCCTACCCTGAATAGTGTTTGCTATAATTCCAGGAGATAAAATGGTGATTCAAAGATATATGTGCTGTTTGGAATGGTTTGCTCAGCCAACCATTTAGACAGTTTGTTGTCCCCTTAGCTTGCTTTATAAAGAGAAGTACTTTGCTAAGTCTGAGGTAAAGAGATAATCTTAGCTCTAGATTTTGGTGCACAACCAGATATACATAGAAAAAAATAAGACAAACTGAATTCTAGGCATGTTGAAGTGTCTCAGGTAATGTTAGCAATGTTATTTTACAACTTTTCAAAGCATGTACGTTAAAATTGAGAAGGAGGACCCTGGTTAAGATGATCAGTCCTCACTTAGAAAGATAAATGGGATGGACATTGGAAGAAGGAGAAAACAAGAAACAGGACAGAAGCCTACCACAGAGAGCCTCTGAAAGACTCTACTTAGCAAGGTATCAAAGCAGATGCTGAGTCTCATAACCAAACTTTGGGCAGTATTCAGGGAACCATATGAAAGAAAGGGGAGTTAGTAAGACCTGGAGAGGACAGGAGCTCCACAAGGAGAGCAACAGAACCAAAATATCTGGGCACAGGGGTCTTTTCTGAGACTGATACTCCAACCAAGGTCCATTCATGGATATAACCTAAAACCCGTGCTCAAATGTAGCCCATGGCAGGTCAGTATACAAGTGGGGTACCCTAGTAAGAGGAACAGGGACTGTCTCTGACATGAACTCAGTAGCTGACTCTTTGACACACCCCTCCACCGAGGGAGGAGCAGCCTTGCCAGGCTACAGAGGAGGACATTGCAGCCCGTCCTGATGAGACCTGATAAGCTAGGGTGAGATGTAAGGGAAGGACAACCTCCCTATCAGTGAACCTAGAGAGGAACATGGGAGGAAATGAGGGAGGTAGGG